TGTCACCCAGGCTGGAGTGCAGTGGCCGGATCTCAGCTCACTGCAAGCTCCGCCTCCCGGGTTTATGCCATTCTCCTGCCTCAGCCTCCCGAGTAGCTGGGACTACAGGCGCCCGCCATCTCGCCCAGCTAGTTTTTGTATTTTTTAGTAGAGACGGGGTTTCACCGTGTTAGCCAGGATGGTCTCGATCTCCTGACCTCGTGATCCGCCCGTCTTGGCCTCCCAAAGTGCTGGGATTACAGGCTTGAGCCACTGCGCCCGGCCTCAGAGTTTGATTCTTATATGCCTTGGAGTAGTCTTGTTTGAGTTGAATCTCTTTAGTGTTCTCTGACTTTTTTGTACCTCAGTATTTATCTCTTTCTCAAGTTTTGTAAAGTTTTCTGTCATTATTTTTTTGAATAAGCTTTCCACCCCTGTTCTTACTCAATTCCCTCTTGAACACCAATACTTTTTAGAATTGGTTGGCCTTGAGGTAATTTTCTGTATCTGTTTTTTCTTTTTGGAACAGGGTCTCACTTTGTCACACAGGCTGGAGCGCAGTGGCACTTGGCTTACTGCAGCCTTGACCTCCTGGGCTCAAGTGATACTCTCACCTCAGCCTCCCAAGTAGCTGGGACTACAGTACAGGCCACCATGCCCAGCTAATTTTTAAATTTTCTTTTTATAGAGATGGGGATTTCACCATGTTGCCTAGGCCGGTCTTGAACTCCTGAGCTCAAGCAATGCACCCACCTGGGCCTTCCAAAGTGCTGGGATTAAGGCATGAGCCACTGTGCCTGGACAATTTTCTGTATCTTATATGTGATCTTTGTTTCTTTTCATTCTTTTTTCTTTTTATCCTCTGACTGAAATTGCAAATAATCTGTCTTCGAGCTCACAGATTCTTTCCTCTCCTTGATTCGTTCAGCTTTTGAGAGCCTCTATTGAATTTTTCAGTTTAGCAAATGTATTTTTCAGTTTCAAGATTTATTTGATTTTTATTACTTCAAACTCTTGTAAAATTTCTGTGATAAATTTCTGAATTGCTACTAGTCATAATGGATTAGAGAAGAAAAGAAAAAAAGTTCTGAATTGTTGTTCCGTGTTATCTTTTTGATCACTGAGTTTCTTCAAAACTGATATTTTTAATTCTTGGCCAGAGAGTTCAAACATATTGCTGTCTCATTAGGGCCAGTTGCTGGTTCCTTGCTTTGTCCATTTGAGGTCATGAGTCTCAGATTGCTGTTGTTTCTTATGGATGTATGTCTATGTTTTGGCACTTAAGGATTCGTTACTTATTCCACTTTTCTCTGTCTGCCTTTTTTTTTCCTTTTGAAGGTATTTTTATCCCTCGTTGTTTTGTTTTTTATTCAATATGTTTGCTTAGGAATTCTTTGTAATTTACCTGTTGATTTTTTTACTTCTTTTTTCCCTGCTAAGTCACTGCCTCTTTTTTGGCACTAGATGGTGCCTTAAGCCCAGGTTTGCCTCAGTTTTAGTAAACAGTGTGCCTGTTAAGAATGGGAGAGGTCCCAAAGGTAGTGTAGTGTAGGAAGGCTGCCTCAAGGTTCATGCCCAGGGACTTGTGGAATGAACTTCCTATAGTGTGGTGCTGCTGAAGAGCTGCTCTTGTTTGACGTCTCCTTTGGCTGAGTACAGAGCAGAGTGTCTCTGAGATATTTCTCCCTTTAGGGACTTCCAGTGCTTCCCCTGGGTTGAGGCAGGAACAGATCTCCTGCCCGGGGAACCCAAGACAGTGGGGAAGCTGGTTGTCCACCTCAATCTTTTTATTTTATTTTATTTTATTTTAGTGTAGAAACTGTGAGTCAGGGGAAATTTTCTATATACTTGGTGCTGGACAGATTGGGGGCAGGGGCATTGTGGATAGGGAAGTCTGATTCTCTTACCATCTGCTTGGAGCTTTTTCCCTTTTTTTGTGGCCCCAGAAACTGTCTCATCTTTATATTTGAGTTCTGGACTTCTGGGATATTGCTGGTGATAATCTTGGTACTGTATGTTGGTTACTAGTTTTCTGTGGAGAGGGAGTGAAGCCAGCTTGCTTTGTTTGTTTGTTTGTTTTTTGAGACTATCACTCTATTTCCCAGGCTGGAGTGCAGTAGCGTAATCTCGGCTCACTGCAATCTCCTCTTCCCAGGTTCAAGCAATTCTCATGCCTCAGCCTCCCAAATAGCTGGCATTACAGGCTCATGCCACCACACCTGGCTAACTTTGTATTTTTAGTAAAGACGGGGTTTCACCATGTTGGCCAGGCTGGCCTCGAACTCCCAACCTCAGGTAATCCACCTGCCTCGGCCTCCCAAAGTGCTGGGATTACAGGCATGAGCTAGTGCGCCCAGCCCAACTTCCTTCTTTATTGCCATTTTGGAATCAGAAGACTAGAATTCTTAGTTTCTGATGTTTACTCTGAACTCAGTGGTTCAACCATCTTATTTTCCAGGGTGGAATTTTACTTCTCTCTTTTTTTTTGAGCTGGAGTTTCACTCTTGTTGCCCAAGCTGGAGTGCAACGGTGCAATCTCTGCTTACTGCAACCTCTGCCTCCCAGGTTCAAGCCATTCTCCTGCCTCAGCCTCCTGAGTAGCCGGGATTACAGGCATGTGCTACCACGCCTGGCCAATTTTGTATTTTTAGTAGAGATGGAGTTTCTCCATGTTGGTCAGGCTGGTCTCAAACTCCTGACCTCAGGTGATCCGCCCACCTCAGCCTCCCAAAGTGCTGGGATTACAGGCGTGAACCACCATGCCTGGCTTTTTTTTTTTTTTTTTTGAGACAGAGTTTTGCTCTTGTTGCCCAGGCTGGAATGCAATGGCGCGATCTTGGCTCACCACAACCTCCGCCTCCTGGGTTCAAGCGATTCTCCTGCCTCAGCCTCCTGAGTAGCTGGGACTACTGGCATGTGCCACCATGCCCGGCTAATTTTTGTATTTTTAGTAGAGATAGGGTTTCTCCGTGTTGGTCAGGCTGGTCTTGAACTGCCAACCTCAGGTGATCTGCTCGCCTTGGCCTCCCAAAGTGCTGGGATTACAGGTGTGATCCACCGTGCCCAGTCTTTTTTTTTTTTTTTTGATGTTGCCCAGGCTGGATTGCAGTGGCATAATCTCAGCTCACTGCAACCTCTGCCTTCCGGTTCAAGCGATTCTCCTGCCTCAGCCTCCCAAGTAGCTGGGATTACAGGCACCCATCACCACGCCTGGCTAATTTTTGTATTTTTTTAGTAGAGATGAGGTTTCACCATGTTGGCCAGGCTGGTCTTGAATCCCTGACTTCAGGTGATCCGCCTGCCTCGGCCTCCCAAAATGCTGGGATTACAGGCATGAACCATGGCGCCCAGCAGGAATTTTACTTCTTACAGCTGAGGTGTTACTTTGCACAGAACTTCCTTATTAAACAGGAAATTAGCAGATGTTAAAGATATATTAACATCTAGTTGACTCTCTCTGATGAAAAAAGAAAAATTGAAAAACATATTTTTAAAGCAACATATTTGAAGAAAAATGGGAACAACTGTTCAGAATGATGTGTGCCAAAAATAAATGCAGGAGATTTCAGGATCTGTGAAATCCATTTTCAGGTAAAGAAGCTTCATCTTTTGCCCCATGGGGCCAACAGAGGCCCCACCCCTTTCCTCCCTTTGCTTTTGTGTGACGCCTTCTTCTAGACAAGGCTACCATGAACTCAGTTCCTGCTGTTTATACTAGAGCAGTCCTTGACCAGGATTTGCCCTTGTATAAATGTAAGGGTGTTCACACCATGAGGTTAACCCTTAGCCTTACACTTCCCTAACGAAATCTTTGCATAAGCACATCAACCTTTCCAATTGGTTCTTTGACTACATAGTTTTCCCACAACCCTGGAATAGGTGGTGGTAAAGGCTCATCATTACATGGAACATGGAGAAGTTGAGGTTGATTTCACTCTTCAGTGAGGACTGAGCAGCCGGTATGTGCTCTGTTCCCTTGTGTGGGAGATATGAAGGAGGCGTCACACCTGGCAGGTCATGCTTCATACACCTGGTAGCTCTGGAGTGGGGGCCTGAACCAGGGCACCTCCCAGAAGTTCTCAGCTCTCCTCTCACTACATGGGAGGGAGATATGCCTCATGTCTTTTTGTCGATGCTGTGGGTGCTTGACAGATGACACTGACCAGATAACTCAGGAAGAGGGCACCATTTGGCTGTGGATTCTTTTTGGTTTGCAGATTAGGTGGGAGATAATGGTGATAATAACTGGCATTCACTGAAGGTTTACTGTGAACCAAGCCTTGTGCTAAGTTCTGCACTTGTAGTATCCATTTAATTCTCAAAATAACCTGAGGTAAGCATTATTTACATTTGAGCCCATTTTACATGTAAACCCATTTTACAGTTGAGAACACTGTGGGTTAGAGAGGTTGGTAACTGTATCTTAGGTCAATGGTTCTCAAACTTTAGTGTACAATGAAATTAGTGGCAGAGCTTGTTAAAACAGTGTATGGGACCTCACCCCCAGAGTGTGATTCCATAGTCTGGGGTGGGGATCAAGAATTTTCCTTTCCAGCAATTTCCCAGGTTAGGCTGATGCTACTGGACCAAAGGCCACATTTTAAGGAATACTGCCCTTGGCCATACAGCTGTGAAGTGTAGAGTCATGCTCCTTTTCCCCCTAAAATCTATGTTTTTTAAACCATTGCACATGCTGCCTCATTACAAACTTTTCTATGTAGATTCCCCCAAACCCTGTCCTTGGTGGGAGATGAACTGGGTGAAGCAGACAGCCAGCCTCCCTCTCTTCACTCTAATCATACCTGTAGCTTTCTCTCCTCCTGGGAAGACTTGCCCCAGCCTCCCAGCTCTTTTTCCATATGGCTCTGTGCTATGGTCTGAATGTGTCCTCCACCTCAGATTCATATGTTAAAACCTCATCTCCAATCTCCTGGTGGTATTAGGAGGTGGGGCTTGGGAGGTGATTAGGGATAAGAGTGTAGTCATCCCAGAGAGCTGCCTTGCCTCTTCTACCATGGAAGGACGTAAATAGAAGGTGCCATCTGTGAACCAGGAAGTGTGCTCTCACCAGACACAGTCTGCTGGCACCTTGATCTTGGACTTCCAGCCTCCAGAACTGTAAGAAACAAATTTCTGTTGTTTATAAGCCACCCAATCTGTGATACTTGGTTACAGCAGTCTGAACAGACAAAGACACTCTGTTACCCTGTCAGGAATATCTTTCTAATGACACCCATTCTACCGTCTCCTCTGTCCTTGATTCTGAAGGGCATCCTGCTCCTACCCAGTGGATGGAAGGAGCCTACAGGAGTAATTTGATAGTTTGGCTTCAAGGCCATGTGGCTGCTGGTCTTGAGATGATCCTGGGGCTCTTTTGTGCCATTGAGTCTGACCTTGTGGCTTCAGGCTCCAGATCACATAATGACTGAAGATCCTGCTTGTGGGTCCCTGACATTAACAGCCAGACCTCTTTTGTTTGTTTGTTTGTTTTGTTTTTGAGACAGAGTCTCGCTCTGTTGCCTAGACTGGAGTGCAGTGGCACGATCTCCGCTCACTGCAAGCTCCGCCTCCCAGGTTCACACCATTCTCCTACCTCAGTCTCCCGAGTAGCTGGGACTACAAGCATGTGCCACCATGCCCGGCTAATTTTTTTGCATTTTTAGTAGAGATGGGGTTTCACCATGTTAGCCAGGGTGGTCTTGATCTTCTGACCTTGTGATCCACCTGCCTTGGCCTCCCAAAGTGCTGGGATTATAGGCGTGAACCACTGCGCCTGGCCACCAGACCTCTTTTGTACTGACCTCCTGCTCACTGGTATTGACAGGTCTCTTCCTGCTTGACCAGCACTCTGCTTGTGCTGGCACAGGAGCTGTTCTGAATATGTTCAGAGTGACTGTGGGCATTCTTTCCTCTGGGGTGCATGTCTAAGGTCATAATCCCATTCTTGGAGGTGGGCTTCCCTTCATCTTAAACCACTACTGTGTCTCCTTGCTGCTAAGCTACAGGAAAAGAAGAGAAGGGTAACTTTAACTGCACTAATATTTAGTGGTGATCCCGGCACCTCTTCCCTGGCAGAGCAAAGTCTTGGGGCTAAACTGAAGAGGTAGTGTGATCCTGTTTTGTAACAGAAAGAACATGCAGGCATAACAAGAATGACCCGATACCACATGGGTAGCTCAGGTGCCTAGTGAGGCTCCCACTGCAAAAGGCCGCTGTTTCATCTTTAATAAAGCAAGCATTAGATAAAGCACATTAGAAGGCCAAGTGACTCATTTCTATTTCTGGCCTTCAGACATCAGTGACAGTGGTGACTTCAGGCTGTGGACAGGAAGGATGGTGAAGGGTTGGCAGTGGTAGGATGGGCCCCAAACCCTCTGCAGGAGACCCTGAACAACTTTGGAAAGACTTCTGACCATTTTTGCCTTGACTGATGATGCACCAGGGCCCTTCGGTCCTTGCCTTTGTTCAAATCTCACTTCTGTGCTCTCGTCTCCATGAGCTTACCTGTGAGCACCCCTCTTTCCCACCACATTCTCACCAGTTTCTGGATCACTCTCCCAGCAGAACTCGTGGCTCTCCCCTTTGGAATCCCATAGGACTTGGTTCCTCTGCATCTCAGGAGTTTCTTACATTGTCTTATCTGTGGTTGTGCTACCAGCACCTGACCCTTAGGCCCTAGAGGGCAGGGACCCATTCCCAGTGCTAAGCAAAGCCTGACAGTGATGACTAAAAAGCTACAGGCTGTCACATGACACTGGGGGCTGCTAGTGCTGTCTCAGGCCCCACTGGGTTGTCAGAGCCCAGGTATTAGATCCCTGGTTTCTAGATTTGTCCTGAAATTCAAAGCTCAAGCTACTGTAGCCGAATGGCCACAGTGGGCAGGGAGGAGGCTGGCAGGGAGAGGGTAGACGAGATGCAGGAGCTCTGCAGAACTGTGCTGGGAGGAGAGGATTGTTCCTGCCTTGAGCCAGGCTCTGGAAAGGGGAATTTGGTCAGAAAGGAAGGGAGATGTTGGTGGGAGGGGTGCCCAAAGGACCCCAGCAGTTAGAGGAAAGAGGCTTCTGGAAGCCCATCTGGGCTGGACCCACCCACCTTTTGGAATGCATTTATGCTAATTAGATACCATGTCATAAAGTAGATTTAGAGGTTCATGGTTTTTTTTTTTTTTTTTGAGACAGAATCTCGCTCTGTTGCCCGGGCTGGAGTGCAGTGGCGCGATCTCGGGTCACCGCAAGCTTCGCCTCCCGGGTTCACGCCATTTCTCAGCCTGGTGCGGTACGGCGCCGCCACTGGTCGCCCACTGCAGCTCGGGTTACCTTCTGCCTCAGCCTCGAGTAGCTGGGACTACAGGCGCCGCACCTCGCCGGCTAGTTTTTGTATTTTTAGTAGAGATGGGGTTTCACCGTGTTAGCCAGGATGGTCTCGATCTCCTGACCTCGTGATCCGCCCGTCTCGGCCTCCCAAAGTGCTGGGATTACAGGCTTGAGCCACCATGCCCGGCCTGAGGTTCATGTTTTTATTAAAAGAAAAGAATAAAAAAGATACCAGGTCAAATGGGTTTGGGATCTGATGGGAAGATTGGGAAGGTCAGAAGGCCTGGGGTACCCAATGGAGAGGAAGCAAATGTGAAATTTGTGGTTTCTTAGGCCAGTAACCTATCTTCTCTAGACCGCAGTTGCCTCGCTAGACACAGCTTTGGTGTTAGGTCTAAGTTTATCCACCATTTCCTCACAGGCCACTGGGGCCCCTCATGAGGCTCCTGGGGGCTCTTTCCAGCACATCTGAGCAGGCTCTGGAGTCAGGAGGACCCTGCCAGGTTGTAGCTTGTGTGTCTTTGGGAAAGTTGTGCAACACGCTGAAACTCAGTTTTTCTTACCATTAAAAAGGGTATCATGGGCCGGGTGTGGTGGCTCACGCCTGTAATTCCAGCACTTTGGGAGGCCAAGGGGGGTGGATCACAAGGTCAGGAGTTTAAAACCAACCTGATCAACATGGTGAAACTCCGTCTGTACTAAAAATACAAAAAAAAATTAGCCAGGTGTGGTGGCGTGCACCTGTAACCCCAGCTACTCAGGAGGCTAAGGCAGGAGAATTGCTTGAACATGGGGGGATGGAGGTTGCATTGAGCTGAGATCATGCCATTGCACTCCAGCCTGGGCGACAAGAGTGAAACTCTGTCTCAAAACAAAACAAAACAAACAAACAAACAAAAAACCAGTTTATTAAGAAAGCAAAGGAATAAAGAATGGCTACTCCCTAGGCTTGGGCTGCTGGTTGACCCTTTTTTTTTTTTTTTTTTTGAGATGGAGTCTCGCTCTGTCGCCCAGGCTGGAGTGCAGTGGTGCAATCTTGGCTCACTGCAAACTCTGCCTCCCGGGTTCACACCATTCTCCCGCCTCAGCCTCCCAAGTAGCTGGGACTACAGGCACCTGCCACCACGCCCGGCTAATTTTTTTGTATTTTTAGTAGAGATGGGGTTTCACCGTGTTAGCCAGGATGGTCTCGATCTCCTGACCTTGTGATCCGCCCGCTTCGGCCTCCCAAAGTGCTGGGATTACAGGCGTGAGCCACCGCGCCCGGCCTGGTTGACCATTTTTATGGTTATTTCTTGATTATATGCTAAACTAGGGGTGGATTATTCATTTATTCATGAGTTTTCTGGGAAAGGGGTGGGGAATTCCCAAAACTGAGGATTCCTCCCCATTTTAGACCATACAGGGTAACTTCCTACATGGCCATGGCATTTGTAACTGCCATGGGGCTGGTGGGGGTGTCTTTTAGCAGCTAATGCATTACAATTAGTGTATGAGCAGTGAGGATGACCAGAGGTCACTCTCATTGCTATCTTGGTTTTGGTTGGTTTTGGCTGGCTTCTGTTTTTTTTTTGAGACGAAGTTTCACTCTTGTCACCCAGGCTGGAGTGTAATGGCGCGATTTTCCCACTGCAACCTCTGCCTTCTGAGTTCAAGCGATTCTCCTGCCTCAGCCTCCCGAGTACCTGGGATTACAGGTGTGCACCACCATGCCCAGCTAATTTTTGTATTTTTAGTAGAGATGGGGTTTCACCATGTTGGCCAGGCTGATCTCAAACTCCTGACCTCAGGTGATCCACCCGCCTTGGCCTCCCAAAGTACTGGGATTAGAGGTGTGAGCCACTGCATCCGGACTGGCTGGCTTCTTTAGTGCATCCCATTTTATCAGCAAGGTCTTTGTGACCTGTATCTTGTGCTGAACTTCTATGTCCTTCTGTGACTAAGAATGCCTTAACCTCCTGGGAATGCACCCCAGTAGGTCTCAGCCTTATTTTACTCAGCCCCTATTCAAGATGGAGTTGCTCTGTTTTGAATACCTCTGATAATACCTCACAGGTTGTTAAGACAATTATGTGGGAAAGTACCTGAGGATGTGTACCACCAGGACTGGTCTAGCAGTTCTTGGACCTAGCCTCCCTTCATTACTTTCCTCTAGCTCCAGGGAGTTGGGGGTTATGGAGTTACTATATGGCTCTCTGGCAAAGTTTTTGGGCTCAGAACCTCAATCCCCAGCCACTGTGGCTTCTCAGAGCCTTTGGCTTGGTTCTTCCAGTCCCCAATACTCTCCCTGGGGCTCTGGAGCAGGAGGTTGAGTGCCAGGCCAGAGACCCCTCTGAGTTCTCATGGCTAGCATCTCCAGGCTGGGGAAGAGGGAGAGGGTGCTTGTTCCCTGATCTTTGCAGAGTGGAAACTGGCTCAAGTCCCACACCCTGACTCAGCCACCCAATGTCTCCTGCTTCAAGGTTTCATTCTTTCTGGATGCCATTACCTATCAGGAAAGGGGACAGGGATTGGCTATAGGTACTTCAAGCTTAAGCCTTGCATTGATTCACATAGGGCCCTAGCTTGTCAGAAAAAAAGGGCCCTGCTTAGAGGTGAATGTAGAGGCGTTAAAGATGACACATTGACTCCCTGCACAATTCTGCCAACCCTAGCCCTTTTTGTCTTCACTTGTCTATACACAGAAGCTAGGTTGTCAGTCCTGACCCAACTGAAACCAGTGATTCTTGACAGTAGAGAAGATCTTTTCTCTGGCAGGGCATATCTTCCATAGAGCTTCATAAATAGGAAAATCCACCAAGAGTA